CTCGAGAGGCAGGTCGAACTTTTCAAGAAAACGACCGCCTTCGTGGCAACTGCTCTGGTGCCCTTCACAGCAAAAGTGAGTGTCGTGCCTCGTTGTAGTGTCTGTTTTGGTACAGCAGAGCGTGAGTAAGCAGAACAGTACAGTACACTACAACACAATACAACACCATACGAGCGATTACGAATGATCAGTACCGCATATGCTGACCAATGTCGTGCATTCGCACGCAGGTTTGCGCCCTGATACTCTTCTGGCCTGGATCACAGCATCCACTCTTCTCGGGAGGATGACTGTTTTGGGGATAGCCATGCGAAGGCTGTTGACAAGCCTTTCCTTGGATGGCCTGCATGAGAGCCGCTTTGACATGTTCGCCAGCGCTATCATGACGTCTGCGGGACGGCAGTGACCAACACGTTCCAGCCTGATTTCCACCTTCAGCGTGCCTTGGATATCAAGAGGAGCAGGATTCATGAACATTGCAACAGTGCTAAACTCAGTTTCCCAAATGCTGGATTCATTAGATGTGTGCGTCGGCTGCAGCCAGACCACTGATTTGGGCACTGACAGCACGAAGAACGTGCAGCAGGCCTACTGATTCGGGCCTCTGCGCCTGCCAGTTGTGTTAGAATGGTGCATACAATCGGGTCGACGCTGGTAAGCTGTTGCGCCTCTTCAGTGAAGAGGGCTCGCTCTAGAAGTCGCACGACAGCACATAGTGACCTGAGCATCAATGCCAGAGGCTTCGACCAAACGCTGTCCCCGAGATTCCTAAAAGCGAGGCACGATGATGATGGAATTCCGATGTCGCATAGCAGCTCCCGTTGTCCATCCTGCAGCATCGCAATCACCACTTTTAACTGGGGCCGCTGGCGTTGGCGACAATTGCCGCCTTGAACGAGTTGACCTTGAGCACCCTGATTCGGCCTGTCCATCGTCTCGTGTCAAGTGTGCATCTGCCGCAGACGCTCCTGCTTGTCATATTCACGATGTCCCAGCTTTGCCCAAGTAGCTTGATTTGCAAACGTGGGCCAGCGAGCTCCCGGTTAGACCAGTTCGTTAGACTACACAGATAAATCTCCAGGTTTTAACAGCTAGTATGGCCCGGTGCCGCGATGCATCCAAAGTCTACCAACTGACTCTGATAAGTGACATCTGCTGCCTGTTCTGATGAAGGCATCGAGTGTGAATGGGTCCGACATTAGCCTCCAGGAACTCATGCACCAGCAATCTGAGACCGCTACCGGTCTGGACCCCGCGTGCCGAAAGCAGGCGCTGCAAAGCAGTTGCCACCTGCACCACTTGCACCGCCCTGGCTGCACGAATGCATAGAAGCTCTATGAACACCGCTGTGCTGAGGTCATCACCCGCAGACCAAGTGAAGAAGAAGTGGACTTGGGCATGGCCTGCTAGGAAGATCCAGGTGTACAAGCGAATAACCACAAGGTTAAACGGCACGTGGTACCAGCCACCAACACAGCCTGATGAGTCTGCTTCTCATGCGCTTGCTTGTGGTTGACATTCTGTCTTCTGACTGCTCAGGCTGAGATAACAAGTGCAGCAGGTGTGCAGTGGTTCAGTTGGCCCAGCAAGCAACTACTCCGGGGCATTTACGTGCTGGATGCTCGGCAGCTGCAGGGCTACAGGTTCCCAGTCCGCTGCCTGCAAGTTGGCCAGAATGACCTGCACATCCAAAATGTCGTCTTGGACTGCAAAAAGGCAGGCTGCCTCGTCGACCAGAGTTGTCTGGGGTCCAAGGCGACCACCTTAACTCCAGAACTGATCCAGGTCGACTTAATGCACTCTGCAGATCTCTGCTGCACCTGTGAGAGCTGCTCGTGCTCGTGCCAGTCGTGCTCGCAAATGTATGCGAGTTGCTGCAAGCTCCTCGTCGAAGATTTTGTGCAGGATGATACAGGCAGGTCGACATGTCTAACTTGTGGTGAGCACTTTGAGTAACTAAGTAACGTGGCGGGATGATGCGGGATGCAAAGAGCGGGCCTGCATGGCAGCACCATTCGCTCTCAGCAAGTCCCGACTGTGGATCATAGCCTGAAGCCGGCAACAGCAACGAACCGACGCTTACTTGTGTGACATACCGTGACATGCTGCTTTTGGAGTCTTGACAGGTGATCAGAAGAGGGACCAACTAATCAGCATTTTCTGTACAGGCAACATCAGGTAGCTGTGCGCTACACCCCTGAATGATCCTGAATGGCCGCATGCCTGAATGCTGTATGCCCACGGCACCTCCTTCAGCTGCCAGAGCAGTAGCATCCTACTTGTAACATCTTGTAGCTGCCACACACTTTCTTTTTTCCGCTTTGTTCCAGTGGGGGCTTTGGCATTCAGCCCGCAGCGCACAACGCATCCTTGTGTCCTCCCGGCCGACGAATCACATCGAATGATCAGCTTCGCATGTCCCAACCAGTCTGCTGATGCCAGCAAGGTGGAGCGTGCCGACGACTGCCAGGACAACTTTCCTTTGCTTGCAGCGGCGCTGAAGGGAACAAATATGTTGAGCGCATCAGACTCCAAGCAACATAAATTTGGTCGAACAACGAAACAAAGCTGCGCAGGTTGGCCTGTTTGCTTAGGCTTTGCCTGTGATTGCCTGTGCACATTAGTTTCAATTTAAGTCGCTGCCAGAAACGTCAAACTGCAATGAAACATCTGCTATTTTGGCAAGTGTCTGTCGTCCACCATACTTGTTGCATGCATCAGCGATACATCCAGCAATGTGGACATCTCTGTCTGTGAGAATCGCGCGCAGCTGCACACGCCAAACCGCCAGGATTGCCAACGCGAGACTGGGCAAGACTACCCAATTCAGCCAGCCAGGTTGAGTGGAGAGAGGCACAGCATCTGCAAAGTCTGTGTCCAGCGGTCTTGCAGGCACCAACAACGTGAATGCGGGAATCAACAGCCCCATCAGCAAGAGTCCCGCAGTGATTGAAAACGGAGCCTCCATGCCAAGGACCAGCAAGTTACGGATGACAGCGATGGGTGTCATCGCGAGAAGCAGCAGTGGCGCCACAATGCTGCCAAGCATAACTGCACTTGACACGCCTAGTTCTTTTTCCTGCCGCTTTGGACTTGACAACAGTGTTGTGCAACAGTTCACGACATCGTACCAGATGTTCGCCCATCCGCTGACGCTGCCAGCATCTGTCAGTGTTGCAATCGCAACATCTTTTAGTACCGCGTCCAACTCTTCGTCAGACAGATCGCCAAAAACGACGGGAACAGCACCCTGTCCGGCAGCCCTTGCTCTTGGAAACGACACTTCACTACAGCGCATTAGTCAGTTGCAGAACTCAACTAGGCAAAACATTGAATCCTGCTTAATCTGCACTGCTCAAGGCACTCTGCCACAGCCTGCATCTCGTTGTCTAGTAGGCTCCTCAGCAAAGAGCCACCAGGGTGCAGCCTCTGCCTGAACGAAGTGGAGCAGCTCCGCAAAAAACTGACTCTAATTAAATCTAATGGCACTGAATTGCACGTCTTCAACTTCGTGCTGCATGCGGACCTAGGGTTTCGGGGTTTAGGGTTTAGGGGTTGGTTTAGGGTTTAGGGGTTTACGGGTTTAGCGGTTAAGGGGTTCGAACCGGAAGTAATTACCAAGAGTTTTCAGCACATACTGAGATACTGAGCCGGCGCCAACTCCCCAAACTTGCCATTTTCACCAGACAGGACAAAAACGTCCAAAGGCCCGGAGTATGCATGATGTCTGAGGCATGCGCATGCGCTGCCATCTCTCGTCGAACATCTCTAAGACAACGGCAGCAAGAGCGCTTGACTCCATCAGCTCTGTCGCAAGGCTTTTGGCACAAAACGTGGAGAAAGGGTTGAAGTGCATACACCCAACCAAACACACTAAGGTTCCAGAGTCGTCGTGTCGGACTACTCGTGCTTGAGTCAGAGCCAGCGAATCAAGCCTGGGCAGCGCCCGTCTTGTGCAGGATGGAACCTGCTGCGAAAGTCCTCTGCGGACATGATGCTGAGGGCCAGAAAAGCACAGAATACCCGCGAAGCAAACTGGCCAAATGCAGAGTCGAGCACTTCTCTGTCGCATACAACGCATCACACCAGTTCAAAATTCCAAGCTTGAGCCGCAAAACGTGCTGTCGTGTTGGTAATGGCTTTGTTGTCATGTTAATTGTTGCATGATAGCAAGGGTTAGCAAGGCTAAGGCACGGAAGCATGTCACGATCACAGTTCGCAGGGCCTGGACATCGGGCCGCGGTGGTTCTCGAAATTTCTGCAACTCCTGCTGAAAGCGAGTCACCGCGTGGCAGGACTTCAGCGCGAGTGAAACTTCGCCTCGAACTCCTCGAAGGAAATTGTTCCCTGAGGTGTGCGTGCGTGTGTGTGTGTGGAAATGGGAACTTACAAGCGTATACAAGCGTGTACAGGCACATTCGGCACATGTGTAACAAGACATATGCAGGGTTGCAAGATGTTGCAGGTTTGCGAGTTCCTCAGAACGCCAGCCGCAAGCATCCGCAAGCATTCCGTCGTTCTCCATCCGGTCTACCCCCTGCAAACTACGCCGATGTGCCAGAGATGGTGCCGCTTCCTCGACCGCAGCCCGAAGGAAGAAATATGGTCGGATTCTCTTCATGCGACGTGAACAACCATGCACCGATACACCGCTCTGTGAAGGATCCCGCAGATGAAGAACACTAATCTAGCGTAACTGCCACAGAGCCCGGAACAGAGCTCTAATCTGGAGCCACACCGATTCCCGCATATTCTTGGGCCCCTCTGTCGGACCGTAGGATGTGCAGAAGCCGCGGGTTTGGGCATGGTGGTCTTGACGGTCTTGCTTTGCATCATTCAATTATATAATTATATTCCTATGTGTGTTTCGTGGAGAGGATTTCGAGGATGCGCTGGGGCTGGCGGATGCCGCGGCGCATCTTCTTGCCGGACACGTATTTGTATAGGGTCAGTTACTGATTACCTGGTGCTGTGCACAAGCGCACGGTCGATTTTGGGTATTGTGGTGCAGGTGGGAAATTTGATCTGCATTGTCTGCATATGTCTGCATTGTCTTCTCCCAGCCTCGTCATCCCGGTCCAGGAAGCGGAAGATGGGTAGTGTTGGCCCAAAGTAGGAAAAGGATCTTGCCACTGTCACCCACTCAGCTTCCTCAGTGCTATGCTGCTACGATTTCTTCGAAAATGAAGTCCGAAGAAGTCTCGAAAGATTCCGAAAGATTAGACGAGGTTGCGGCAGAGATGAAGTTGTCCCCGTTTACGTCGAAGACTGCCCAGGCAGCCTGGCAAAGTTGAGCACATGATTGTGCACACCTGGCAAAAGTGGTGCCGGCTGGCTTGCCAAGTAACGTTAAGATCGTTGCCAAACGACCGGCTGCAGAAGTGGACGAACTCCTGCCCAAGGATCTAGCAAAAGTGCCCGTACCACGGCAATGGTTGCGAAAAAGGAAGTGGAGCAGAGCGATTGAACACAGCGAAGCCTGTATTGAGTACACCATCTCCTTGTGACAAAGCTCGAGTATACCTTCGGACGAAGATTAGTATATAAACCGCAGCGGCCGCATTCAGAATGAAGGACCACCTCTCCAGCAAACCGTAACGTCATCCAAGGCACCCCATTCACTGCGAGTGACTTGACCCTCACCACTCGGATCCAAGTAGCCTCTGCAATGTGCAAACACGTGCAATGGTTCCCTGCGCCTCTTCTGGCATGCAGACAGGATGGAAGTATCCCGCCCAGAATTTCTGCAGGCAAGGCGCGGAAAATGCCTGAAGCACAAGCTATTGGAAGTTCTAGAGCTGAAGTGTTACCCTTGGCGTGCAGAACCTCCGAAGCCCCGAATCTGAATGAAGGCGTCAATCTCGACTGCTCTACGCATTTGCTCTGACGAAACACCAAAACACTTCTCGACAGCTCTATGCTTCTTTGCAGTCTTTGACATTGTCAGGCCGCGGTGACCTGCTTGTCGTGCACTAGTCGGGTTTATTCTGGCGATACGGCCATGTTCTTTGCAAGACTCCCTGACCTTCCCCTGCTCAGCTTCCGCAACATCAGCGCAGGCGTCACGGGGCAGTGCCTGTGATTTTGTCGCCTTCACGCCGGCCTTTGAACTTCTTGCACTTCACCCTCCTGGCTCTCATGTCGTTCCGGGACATTTTCTAGCAGTGTACACACAACATGAGCAGCCTCCGTGAGAGAAACGTAAGAGCAGCAACAAACGAGCTCGGGTGGAGGCTTGCCTGAGGCCCTCCTCAAAATCTCGGTGGTTCAAGACCTGTGCGTTCCTCAGAGACTTCTGGAGCGTTGACACGACCAGCAAATGTCGAAGCTTAGGTTGCAACTTGCTCTTGATGTCATCGAAAGCCTATCACGCAGCAGCAACTACTTGCTCGTTCTGAAAACCACTCTCTCCAAGATCCGGAAGGTCTGGGGGCAGGTGAGGAAGAATCCGTGATGAGAAATCAAGCAAGCTTGATTGCTTTCCATGATTTATCGATGCGGACCGAATTCGCATGTCCCGGCCGGCACCCAAGGGCAGGAATTCGAACAGGCTCGGTGGGAGCTGTGGCGGCCCCCTCTCAGATTCGCCGCTTCTTTCGATTCGAGTCCCGTTTCCAAATCTGTAGGCTTCACCGAAATCGAATGCTGCGTCCATCTTGGCAGCCTCCGGGTGACTAGAGACGAGAAAAGCGCCATGAAAAAATACGGCTGGCACAACCTGGCACATACAAGCCTGCAAACGCAAATGCTCAATCCATGCAATATTCATGCTACGCGAACCACCAGTCTTGTTTGGTCAGTTGCGGCTCCTTGTCTCACTCCGCACGTAAAAAACTTTTTTGCCAAAGTTGTGTAATTAGTAGCTGAATGGCAACGAGCAACAAACAGAGTTAGCTGCACTTGCACACTATTATTTTCCCTGCCCTGATTCAGAAAACACACTTACCCTCGCCCGCTTCAAGGGCATCAAGGTCGCAGGGTCGTCCAATGAAGATGAGCCCCTCTCCCAGGTGTCGGACCATTCGCTGCAGCTGCAGCCGGACAGGCCGAGTCCCACATGCTGCATCAACAGGCAACGAGGGACAGATGCAAAGCCACCCGCGCCCATGTTGGCCTCCCCAGCCCCTCCAAAGGTTAAACAGAAGGCAGAAAGCAGCTGTCGGAATTCAATTAATCAATCGCAGTGGCAATCCAGATCCCCTGACTACAAGTTTTCCAGCGCTGGCCGGAAGGTGCCGCATTTGATAATGGGAAAGTTTCTGCAACATGCAACCCCTAGTTTGGGTGTTCATAAACATACGAAGCAGGGCCGCAGACGTCTGCCGGCTGCCTCTAATCATGGCGCATAAACCAGAAGTCAGCACAACTGCTGCTGTTCCCGAAGGAACTGCCACGAGCATCTCAGCTAGCATGCCTGCTGCAATCAGAATAGTCAGGCAACAACGGCCGCTCGTGCGTTTTTGCTCTCAGATGCACAAGATTGCCAGCCCGAACCAACTCTATTCCGTCAGAAGTGAAATGCCAGTGTAACGTTCCAGCCCAACCTCATAGACGTCGTCATACCGTTCGATGATAAACCTGGCACCCACCGCAGGGATTTACTTAAGATAAGGCCCTTATCGCTGATTCAGCGAAGTTGCTCGAGAAATTCCATGACATCCACAGGCACTTCGTTGGTGGAGGCCCACCACAGCACCTAATGTCGAACTCCCTTACAGCCGCCACTCGAATCTTGCGAAGGGTGTGCAACTTCAGATTCACCGGACAGCCATGCAGCGCGGTGAGCCTGCTCCATGTTCACGTCGCAAGGCCAGTTGCCGTATGTTTGGAGGAAGCTTTTTCGGACCTACAAAAGCTTCATGGCTTCAAGGAAGGTGGTAGGCCGAGGAATGCTAAGTTTCATGGCCTTGAAGTTCCGATCCTCCGGCGCACACTTGTAGCTCATGGACACGGTACCATGTTCAGGGATCTGCGAGATTGTCTCCCAGCCTTGTCAGCATCTTGCTGATGCTCTTCCCAGTACACGTCATTAAGCCAATCCTACCACTGCACCGGGCTCACGGCTGCGAGGTAGGCCCATTACCAGCCTGGTCTGAGCAAGTTCTTCGGTCATGATGTGCGCTGTCAATGGCGTACGGCTCTTAGACTCAGACTGTCAGCAGCTTTGAGCCCCAGGCGGATCCACCGATCCATCACCCCGCACCCATCTTGGCTTTTGGATGTTAGTCATACGCTCCTGCAGTGGTGCACATCGACAGAAGCCGAAATGCCGTCCAACCGGCTCTCACTAGGCCAAACAGGAGCCTTCTTCGCAAGGTTGATGAGAGCACATAGCGCGGTACGCTCATCAAACCTGTCCAGCTGGAAGACAAACCTCGCCTGGCATGCGGGCACTCTGCATGACAGGCTGTGCAAACAGGGGGGATCCGAGCAAATCGGCGAGTGCGGCCTGTTCTGGCTGAACCCACGGAAAAAAAACGAGTGAACCAAGTCGTGTACGAAGCCGGTTGACCTGACCAGGTGGGCGGGTAGAAGCTCCTAGAAACGCTCGCAGACGTGCTTTCCTGGTGGATTTGTCTTCGCATAAAGCTTCGAGGTGCCAGAATCACCAACAGCACTGGGGTGATGGTATGGGATTCTCAAGCTCAATCAGCAGGGGCTTTCGGCGACAGTCCCGCAACACCGTCCGCGGCCGATTCACTCTAGTTACTTGGAGTCTAACTGATGTTCGAGAATCGAACGCACACCTATTTGTTTCACTCTGCAACATCGTTTGTGATGGTGATGCCGGCGATTCGATCCTTCGTGTTTGCAGTGGCATCTGGGGAACACCTGGTTGCCTCTGCTTGAAAATCTGTGCAGCAAAGAAAACACTTTCGAAACGAGTCTTCGGGATTGACGGTCGCAGTGAGGAGACCAGGCTTCATGCTGCGATTGTGGTGGACGTCGGGTCAAAGGTTGCCTGCTCGTCATCACCCTCGAAGCGAACTGAGAAGACCTTCTCGTTGTGCATGTCAGCAATACCTGAAGCCATGCACCGTGACACTCTTGTGGTCTTTCACGGAGGAGCTTTCATTGATTGCAACTAGTAGCGATTGAAGAAAGTGATCAAGCAGTCCTCCCTGTCGCAGGGATCCTGAGCACCATGAAGAATCGGTGCCTTTACTTCCAGTGATCCCCTCCTTCCTGCAGTACCATGTCAAACCAAAACTGTGGACATCCAGCTGATGTCATATTCTCAGATTCCGCCCGGCACACTGTGAAAGACGAAGGACTAGGAAAACACATTTAGCATGTCGTATGCGCATGTGGCACTACATCAAACTAGGCTCAAGGGAAAACCAACGTTTTTGATGTCACCTCCCGGCCCGGACCTTATCAAAGCAAAATTCCAAAACTCGTCTCTGTCCCATCCGTCCCGGTGCGTTGCGTATGTGGCAAACCCTCGCCGTCCCTCAGTTTCTTGGTGTCAATGCAAGATCACAGCGCGCCGGACACATTCGCTCGGCATGCCCGGTCAAACCTGGACAAACGATACTGCTTGGGATGTGCTGCATACATGCTGCATACAAGAGCATTCATCCGTGGAAACAGACCCCAAGCAGTCCAGCCGCATCCTGAATCACGTCACGTTTAAGTGCAGATACGGTCGAGGTACGAACCCAATGATTGTCAGTGTCTGCCTGCGACAATGGCGGTGATGCTGATGACGATACTGATGATGAAGCAGGTCATGAAGCTGGTGTTGCTGCTGCCGGCGGCGGCAGCGACCGTAACAAGACATGCCAATCGAGGAATCAAACATTAAATTGTTAAATGCTCTGCTGTCGTTTTGCTGCTGAAGCAGTGCGGAGGTCTGCGAACAACAGAGTTTTGCGGCGTCTATCAACAAACTCATGTTTTTGTCGGTTCTTACAGGATCCATCGGGGTGGCGGACAGGCCCCAGCCATGCTTGTCACGTCCGTCGCAGGCCATCTTCATCTGACGGTACTGGCCACCGAGCTTTCAGCTGCTCGTGAAGTAATTTCACAATCACCAGAAAACCTGCACGAGGATCTTGGTAGGTCTGCCACGGAATTCACTGGCAGCGGCATCGGAGTCCAAGTTTGTTGTTTAGTCCTTTTTCCTTTCATTCGGACGCTTTCGTCGGGTCAGGTAAAAGGAATAAACCACTCACCCTGGAACTAGCGTCTGGAGCTGACAATTAGTTTCTCATGGTCTACCTTCTCGCACTTCATCAAAATTCTCCTTATGTTCAACTTTTCCTTGTGTACACCATCAATCTCATGACACCTTATTTCTCTTCTTGGACCCTCACAGTTCAGTGCGGCAACATACGTCCGGTACGGCCAAACTTTGCACGCTTGATACCGTCTAGGATACCGACCAATGCCACTGCCCTTAGCGGCGACAGAGTACAGCCTGTCAAAGAACAACAGGTACCAATTCGTCATGATGATGTCAACATGATAACGCTTGAGACGCTACCGGCACGTCGTAATCATTCACGAAGAAGGCCCGGATGGTCGGCTGGTCTTTGGAGGGCCAAAACCTCCGCCTCATACTCCTTATTGTTGATTGATGCTGATTGCCACTCCAAAAGCACGATGATGCCCTGCTCTTTCCGATCGCAGAGTATAAGTGTTCAGCATTCATGTGGGTTTCAAGGCCTTCATCAGAGGTCGGGGATGGCCTGGTGGAGAGGATGATGGGATGTCTGAACTTGGTTACCTCATCGCTGGATTCCGCCTGAACCGCGTTAGCTCGATGTCTCTCTTGACAGTAGGTGTAGACCGGCCGGCGTTGCTGCCAGTGTTGGATGGTGTCCAATACCAGTAGTGAAGATGATGTTTGGAACGGATTTCGATGTGCCAATATTGCACTTGCCGGCTTTGGCAGCAAGTGGTCTCCAGGTGCCGAATTGGTTTGCACCCTTTTCGGGGAAGGCCGGGCAAAGCATCAAAACGAACAAGATGTTGTGTGAGAAAATGAACCCCCCTGAGTTCATGTTGTACCTTCGGAGGTTGTCGCTTGCTGGGCTTCACTGACAGACTTCTTCGAACTCAAGGAGCTACCGTCGCCGCTGTGTGCGAACTCCATGCATGGAACAATCATCGTCAACGTAGGGCAATGCCGCGGATTGTCGATATGCTGATATGCTCCACTGCGGTCATGTCGTTGTGCAGGGAGTGGTTCGTCGCTTCGGGACACACAAGATTGCTACGCACCAGGACACATAGGACACAGCCTGATCCGGGGAAGGGTGGATGATCGCGCGGCTCCCGGACACGCGGTATAACTGCAGCCACGGCTCTTCGGTTTTTGCGTAATCAAACTTCGGACGTGCATTGGGCAGCACACACCTTCAAGCTGCCCGGGATGTCGCGGCATCGCTCAAGTCCATTGTTTAAGTCTGTCAAGGCCGGGTCTCCGGGTCACCGTTCGCATATCTAGCGGAGCCATCCCCCCGTTTTTCCGTAGTTATCCGGGCCATCGTGGTACATGCGAGTAGAAGCAGTCGTCGCCATTCGTCGCCCGAAGACATGCGAGGACATTGGCAACGCTCATCGACTCCGTGGCCGGTATCTTCGGGCACAAGCTTTGAATGATCTGATTTTATCTGTACAACATCCTCTCGGCAGGACGACGCCTTGGCAGGACGACTCCTGCTTGCGAACTGACACCACCTTCGTCTAGGCAGATAAGGTTCGCAGCCGACCTCGATCCGAACTTCGAGCATTGGGGCAGGCAGAGGGCCTCGACATCCCCCAAGCTGAGAGAGAATTGGAGATGTTCTTCGAGGTGAAGCCGCCCCTTCTAAAGGATGGGAGAACGGTGTCTGGCATCGTCCGGGGGCGCGGTATGGTCACAAGATGTACCTATTCAGTCGAATAGTCGAGTAAATCTGCAGGTGCCGAACTCGAACGACTTGATGTGATTGTAGGGATGTTCGGCCATCGGAATCAAATAATGGCACTGGCTGGCTGCCCGCGTTTTCGCGCTTTCGACAGAACCGCGGTTCGCCTAGCATCTTCCATTTAGACGCCTTGACTTTCAACAACGACCACAGTGGTGACATCTACCTTGGAAGTGCATGTGGCGAATTCCCGAAGACACGGCCAAGGCACGATCGATGAAGCCAGATTGCAAAAACACACAAGGCCATCTTAAACCCAAGCAGTTCTTCCTGGCGATCAACCGAGAACACATCGGGATATCCATGGAGTTGGTCTTGACCTGCAAGACCTCATGGTGCACAGCCAATATGGCCGAAGAATATGAATCGTCATCGTTGTCACTTCGAACAGTAGTGCTGTACAACACAATCCTGATGGAAGATGTTCTCGATTGCGACGATGGTGATGACGACGACGACTATGATAATAATGGTCTTGATGACGATGACTATGACAACGATGATAGTGAGATGTAATGTAGTGATGACGATAGCAAAAATGCCGGTTGGAAGAGGAATTCAACGAGGAAGATTAAGATGATAACGACAACGGAAGTTTCTGGGTGAATACGAGGGCGACGATGACGATGTGCGTTGCAAAGGCGATGGTGATGACGGGGAAGTGGGCTCGCCCCCACGAAGTCCTGCAGGGCTCGAAGTTCCGGCCCTCCAGCCGGCTGTTTACACATGCATTCTGGAGTCACACGGTATATCGCACTTGAGTAAGATGAGATCGAAAAAGAACAGGAAGAGAAAAGGGCGGCCATGACTACATGTAGGTACCCTCACCTGACGACATGCGCAGAAGCCGCTGGTTTCCAGAGTGTTTCCATGCAAGCAAGAACTGCCCTCCGAGCTCAGCTCCATAAAGCACTCCGTCAGGGCCTTGCAATGGCATTCGCGGGGTCAGAGACACACGCATTAACTTGGTCTCGACTATTCTCCGATGCGTTGCCCATCTTCCTTGCAAAGCCCGCTGCTCGAGTTTGCAGCGCGGTAATGTAAATCTGGTGTGCCACCATTCGGAGCGCCTGCGCAAAGAGCAGCAAGTCAGCACCGGCTCTGCTTCCGACAGTCCAGCCAGGCTCCTGCATGTCGTCCCGCGGCAGCTTCGCCTTGGCATGTCGCTGTCGCAGCTCATGGCTCCGGTAGCGCTTCGTCGCCTGGTCGGGACCTGCACCGCTCGGGCTGCCCTTCTTCTGGAAGTTTTGATCCTCGCTTCGAGGACACTTGCATTGCCGTTGAAATCGGGATTCTGAGACTTGCTGTGCCAATGGAAAGACAAGACAAATGAGCTGTGCCTGTAGAGCAATGAGCATGATTCGAAAGGATTTGTCATCGAGAACTTGTGCTCCTGGACTGAAGGAGACGGGCTTGTGAAGCTGGGCAGCCGTCATTTGCCGTCCTTCTGGTGGTCTCGCTGAGCTGGAGTAATCCAGTTCGAGCTTGCCGGCCTCTCAAACTACAAGATGCAAGTGGGTCAAGTCCGTGTCCTGTACAAACGCACAAACCTGATTGAGCCAACTGGCCGGCAATTGGAACATTACACGCATCTCAACAACTGGCCCTGATTGAGCCTACGAGTATGTCTGCTTTGTGAATCGATTGCCCCACACGATCAAAGGCTAGAATAGGCTTCTTCATGGCAACCAGCCTCGGGCAGCAGCCACTCTGTCAACGGTCCCTGAAACTGCGACAAGACTGGCACGAACGACGCAAAGTCATGCGTTCACACTGCATGTAGACTCACTGTAGACTCTCCTGAAGTGGGCTGCCGCGGAAGGTAATGTTCCGGACCTGTGGCACATCCCATATTCCCGAAGCTGTCCTCATCTTTCCGCTATGTGCATGCCTGCGCAGCTGCTCAAAACCAGTTTGCTTACCTGGGACCAGTCGCCGAACTGAGAGGTGTCGACGTGGCGATTCCGAATCCTCAGAAGTCTGAAAGACAGGTTACGCGTTGCTTTTGCACGACAATCCGGGTCGCTCATGTCGTTCTGATATATTTCTGAGTCTCCCGTGCCTGATTGCAGACTCCCAGGAGTCCAGCACCACCTCTTGAATCAACTTTCGAGATTTTGGTGCTCCGCAGAAGCCCAAAACTTAGGGCAAGACAAGCGCTTCGGCAATGGAATGCTCCGCTGGATGCGACAGGTCCACCCTCGACAGCTTATATGCGGACTTTGTGATGTGATGTGACAATCGGGCGTTCGAGATCGTTCAAGGCTATTGCAGGGTCATGCCATGTGAGAAATTTCGACGACAGCAGCAGACAAATTCATGACACCTCTGAACTTGTGTACTGTCGTCCTCCTCTGCACTAACGAATCCCCCCTGGCCCTTGCCCTGAGAGTAGGGAAAAGCCGGGCACTAGCATCAAAGCCCATCACACTTCTCCTCATGCCCCGTATGAGCCTGTAGTGTCCGGTTGGATTCTGAATGTTGAAGAACATCAAAGGCCGTGCGTGTTGAAGGATCTGCGTCACGTCGGGGATGGAGCGAGCAATCCTGCGGCGCATGTGCTCATGGATGCATCTCTTGCAAGTCTTCCCAAGTTGACCGAGCAAAGCTGAGCTCCACGCATAAGTATCAAACATCTCTCGGAAGCCTCGGCACATGCTGCGATGTCGCGTGCGGTTCCTGAGCTTCAGCAACAAGACCTCACAGGTAAGTTCGGCACACAAGCACGAAGGGCAGGGAAGAGCCTGGATACCTGGACTCTTCTCCCACAACGGAAGTAATGTTGCTATGCAATCCGCCGAGGCCAGAGGACGATGTTATTGTTTTTCCTCCCCGTGATCACCCGATTGGGTTTTTTTGAGCCCCCCTTCCCCCCCGTCCATCTCCCAAGTCCTTGTTTGTTGCCTTGCAGATGCATTTCTTTCAGCATCGAGCAAGCGTGGCCGCCGGATGAGCTGGATAAGCTTGCAGCAAGGGTGCTCTCGACGCTGCTCTCGTGCGAGCAGATAGATTACGGAGACTTTTGGGCGCATGACTGGTGAGACCGAGCTCCAGACGACTTCAGCAGGAGATAAGCAGGATCTGCACATCCTTTGTTCCCAGACATCTTTAAAAGTCAATTTGCTCAAGATCTTCGTCACGTTCACAACTCAGTGCTCTTCCGCTCAACGACAGCAAACGGCCTTGGATCTTCACTCTTTGGTGCACGACTGAAGAACCACGCAAAGAACGCCTCCAAGACCCACGCAAAACAACGTCGCGTGCCAGTGCATCGAGGAAGACGCCCTGTCGGCGCTCCACTCAGGGTCTGACATGGTTTGACAGAATGCAGTGAAGTGCGCTGGTCATCCCAAGATATCCCGAGCCTGATCTGGATCAACATCTGAAACGGCCCTGCGAATGGCTGAATCACAGAGATTCGGCTGTGCTCTGAGCTGATGCCCAAACTCCAGCATGAAACCCAAACTTTGGAATTTCGAAGCCTCCAGGCATGAAGCAGCAAAATCTGTTTGTTGTCCGACGGGCACAGCCTGGCAACGTGGGCACAGAACTCGCGCACAGAACCAAGAGGCTGATATATAGGCTGATATAGGCTTAGACCGGGAGCCTCATCAGGTCATTGCGCCGCCTTAAGAAGGCAAGGAAGTCATCCTCTTTGACCTCCCCAACCGGTTGAAGACGTCCGCGTTTATCTGAAGCCAGCGGGCTGCACTCCCTGCACCTGTCCTTCAAGTGCTGATGTATGGCTTTCTCGATCTTGAAGGTTGCCTGCAACCTCAACTGAAATTAATTAGCTGCTCGTCGCCGGAAACAAGTTCTCCGAGAAGCCTCCCCTTTCGAGGAACTGCGTAGATGCCGTCGGCCCCGACCTTTGCATCATCACGTCAAGTGCTGCCAGTGCCTCGACAAAAGACCGCAAAATGTGGGAAGCGCGTCAGGATGCTTGTAGGCGCCCTCGGAAAACTGCACGTGAAAGAAAGCCTGAAAAAGAGATTCAAAAGTGGATGCAGCTCTCGAGGGCAGACGGGCATCGGCCAGCCTCACCAGGATTCACTTTGAGTTCGTCACAGCTTTTATAGAGCATCCTGAAGACAGAGACAGGAGTCCACGCAAATGGAAGGCTGTGGGGAACGCACCTGAGAACAGATCGATGATCAGGGCCTGACGACGTTTGGCCCTAAGTTATATACTCCGCCTGTCAGAAGCTTCCTGAGCTGGCAACGATCCAGCTGCAGAGAGTACCGTGCACCCGGACAGTTGGCATTCATGAACTGCCTTGGTTCTGGGCAAAGGTGTTTTTCGTGATAGCTCCGAGGCGTCTTGCAAGAAATGTACAGATCATCCACCGGATGTTTGCCGCCAGCGCAACCTGGGTTTCGCAAGCAAACAAGTCTGCAGAGGTAGCCGTTGCGGTCTGGCCTTCGAAACGGACGCGATGCAACCCTGACCTCAAGCTTCAAGAGGTTTAAGCGCCAGTTCGTTGGACTTGTGCGTGTATGCAAACATTGAAACTTTTATAAGTGTTCGCTGGCAACAAAATTTAAAACACTCCACCCCTCCCCCCAGCCATTGTCTGCTCGGGGTCCTTGAGCAAACAGCCGACAGCAGTCTTGTGTGTGAGCCTTCTCTCGTTTGGAAGCACACAAGTCAGCAGAAAGTTGCAAAGCAGAGGTCTTTCGCAGCAGAGTTCTGCTCTCTGTAGCGCCCAACGTGGCTTCTGTGACCCATGGCAGGAAATCCTTGTGTGTACAGTTTACGGACAATCTCCCACACTGCTACTCCTATCAGCAAACTCTGGATGCATGAGGTTTGCCGATTTATGACACAACTCGCGACTTCGACCGACATGACCGATTGTCGGTATTAGCATTCTTCATGCAGAATCGTCAATGTTTGCAGTATGTGGCAGGGTTTCTGCCAGGTGTGGGAAGCAATGGCGAATCACGCTCATCCCCCGATTCCCCATGCAGCGGGCTCGGGAGGCTGCTCTTCACTTACAGCTCAAGGATGAATCTGAGTCCTCGGGCCGCTCTCGCAAAAGCAGGCGCACGAAGCTCCTCATCCCAACCTGGGAGCTGTGCGAGGCTTGCTCGTTTGCATGAGTGCATGAGGGAGAGTCTGCTAAATAGAAATGAGGTCTGCGGCTCGGCAAGCCTTCGGGGGTTTGGCAGACACTGGGAAGCCGTGACACGTTGTCGGCAAGCGCATAGCCTGGTTAAAGCACACCGAGGTACTGGTCCGATCGGATTGAAGGAGATATCGAGCACCTCCAATGTCGCTCTCTACACTTATACCTATAGCTCTCGGATGCGGCATGTGCAGCCTGTGCAGCGTTTATTTTGCAGTGCAGCTAAGCAGCCGTTAAATGTCGATTCTCGGACAATAAGTCCTCTCGTGCAGGGCGGCTTGGGCGGCTCTCCAACACTTCACCTCTGCACTTCGCCTCTAGCACTAGGGCTGCCCGATAGTCGATATGATTCAGCGAGATGTCCAGCTCTTTCAGCGGGCACCTTGCGAAAGGTTGGGGATGCGGCTGGTTCCTTGAACCCATGTCTGAGTAGCCAGCGAGCTGGACAAGTATTCCAAAAACGTTGCCGCCTTGGTGCAGTGTACGTTGGCTTCGTTGCACTCACTAAGCTGCACACTTGCAGTTCCATCATCTCCTTTGGTTCCAGCTGGCTTGCCAATGTCATAGGCTCCATGCGCCTGAAGACATTCGCAAAACTTGTGGACATTGTGGACATTGCAGCATTGCAGCTCTGGGCTGAAGGTACTCACTTTCTTTCTTTCTCTACACGGGCAAAGGGGAACGAGCGGACTCCCAAACCCACCCCCCCTCCCCCCGCGCGCACGTGCGCGCGCGAACGCGCATCTGCGAGACCTTGCAGGGTTTTGAACTTTCACGGGTGGGTTTCGCCCCCAATGGCCCGGCTTTACAAGGATCTGCCGAGGCATGAAAAGAAGAAGGCCGCCATGATCCCCTATGCCAGTCGAAACAAAGTAGCCAAGCAACGCTGCATCCACCCCCCCCCCCCCCCCCCNNCCCCCCCCCCCTCCCATGCCGGCCTTCTCCTGGGAGCAGAAAAAAGTGCGTCCACCCACTGATTCGTGTGGGTTTATCATCCGCTTTGCATGGCTTGAATGAATTGAATCCAGGCTTCCTGTCCCCCGAGTTTCTGTCGGCTCTTTTGCGGAAGGTGTTGAAAAGAAGCAGGGATTGAGGGCTGATAGGAGCCCTATCTAGGCGTGGGTTTGCCTGAGAAGAGTCAAGCACGAGTCCTGACCCATTTAAAGAGTTCACACCTGGACCCCTGGAAATCAAAGTTACGAAAGAGTGAAGAATGACGTGGAGCGTGCAATGCGAGGGAAACGGTTGAAGCATGCCAGTAAGTCCGACTAAAGCAGAACACACCCCCAAATCCGAACCAAACAACCCTCAACCCAAGCCAGTGGGCCAGAACCTGCCCCTGCACGAAAAAAAGCTTTTCACGCGCTCTCATTTGACTTCACTGCTCACTGCGTCGTCGCATGTGTTGCTGAACTCGCTGCACATATTCCATCGTTGGGCTGGTCGTGCTTTGTCGCACGCTTTGTCCGGAGACGCCTGTATCCCGGGGCCATGGTGGGTGAGTTCGGCTTGGCATCCCCGATGCCTGTGCTCTCCCAACCACCAACCAATGTGGTTCCTTCGCCAGGGCTATGATGCAGAGGGGA